GTCTTCCTTAGATCAGGCATAGTCATTAGCTTTTTAGTTTTTCATGGGTGGCAACCAAAGCAGAGTGAGACTGGTCGCTGGGCTTGCTAATGCCTGCACCCAATAGTGTGGCTAAGGCTGCTGTAGGAGTTTGGAGTTTACAGCAGCAGAAAGTCATTGGAAGCATTTCTTGTCTCGAGGGGCTGGCAAACCCCCCTGGGTACATGAACCTCTCTTGTTCACCCCTCCTGAGAAATGGAAACCTCTACTCCAGTGTGCTGGGCTAGCCCTTATTCTCAGACTCTGCTGTACCATACATCTGACACTCAGATGTCAATCAAAAGCAACCTTTTAGTTTGGCACACCACAGGTGTTAAGGAACACATACAGGTAGGATTTCACTGCATTAACACCTGTGGCAGGGCTCCCCAGCAACATAACAAACTGTAAGCAGGGGACAAGGTGATAAGAGGCAGGATAGTTTTGGCAGCCTGCCACCACAAACAATGTATGCTGAATGTATGTCACAGGCAGATCCTGTGCAAAGGTCGCAGCAAGCTAAACATTAGAAATCCTAAAAGGTCCTTGCACAATTAACATTTTAAAAATAATGTATATTATATCAACTGCTGCGTTTTAAAGAGGCCAGGAACAAGGGAGGGTAGCCTGCAGCCAGGACTGTGCTAATTGAAGTATACAATAGAATTATTAACCAAGTGACCTTAGGGGTGAGAAGCAGGCAGAAGGAACAGGGAAGACATGACATAGTCCCCTTAGTACCATGTGATATTCCAGTGCCCTGAAAAAGGAGACAGAGAGACAGGACAAGAACAGTCCTGCCATCCTGGCTGGGAAAAGCTGTCTCCACTAGGGCAGTGGCTCTGCCTGGGCCTAAAAGTCATGTATAATGTCTCTGAGTGCCCACCAGCGTGCACCACAGCTGGAATACACAGTGGCCTGAAGCTTCACAAGCCCGTGAAAGCCTTACAGAGTATGCTTATCAAGTGTTGTTTTAAGAATGGGTTTTGTTTTACTTTTTCCTTACCTTGGTAATACAGATTTATGGTTTGAAGTAAGCCTTGTCTTTAAGGGAAAATCTGACTCTAAGTAACCTCACACACTAGAGCACTCTGTTCCTGCGAGTATGGCAATGTTTAAAGCTTTCCCTGTAATCAGTTGTCCCTATCTGTATTTTTCAGGATACCCGAATGATAGTATAGTCAGCCTCCTCTTAGTCACACAGGCTGTTTGGGAGATGGTATCTCTGGGTCTGAGGTGGGGGAGCATCTGCCAGCAGACTGCTTTAGCCAGGAAAATCCTCTGGCACACAGGGTGATTCAGGAGCCTGCCAAGTACAGAGCACTGTGAGGGAGAGTTTGTAACGAAGCAATGAAGCCTGCACATGATTCTTTGTCTTCATTTGCTTGCTGCTATGGAGGAACATCCTTATGTGGCTTGTTTTGTTTAGGTCTACCCACTCATCTTCCTTTCAGTCCCTCAGCTGATTTTGCCGGTAAACTAGGCACTTCTATTGAAAAATCCTATTTGTCTCCATTCCCTCTTCCTCTGGAGCACCCTTGTGTGTGGCTGTGAAATTCCTCACTTAATTCCTTTTGTCCCTTGATCTTGACCTGACATCTTTATCAGCCTCTGATGTTCACATTTCTGGGCATGCAGCACACAGCAGTGTGGGGCTGGATTTCCCTGGCAGGAGGGAGGAAGAAGGAAGGAGAATCTTAGCTGGATTCTGTCACATCAATATACTATCTTACAGTAATTAGGAACCTCATAACAGCTTGGATATCCTTTATAGGCATATCCTTTATGCCTGCCCAAAAGCTCACTTGCATACTGTGTTTATCTTAGAATTTTTTTTCCCCAATCTTTTGCATGGTATTTTGGAGTAGCTCTCAGTATCAGCAGCAGGACAAATAGAGTAGTCCCATTCAACTTTAATTTGTAGTTTGCAGCAAGCATAGTATTCAAATATCAGCTCTTACTATCATAATTTTATAAACTTTCTTGCATGCAAGCACCCAGTCAGAGGAATGCATATGCCCATACCAAAAGTTCTTTCAATAGCTTAGCTGGCATCTGTTATACATTGCCTGAACAAAGAAAGAGAATGGGTCTTTTCAGCCATCTAGTAATTCATACCTAAGGTCTTTGTTTCTGGGGCACAGGAATGAAGCTGGTCCCCAGGAAAAAAAAATGGTTGAAAAGACCTCAATGTAATCTTGTTTCCCTTCATGATTAACTGCAGCTAGGAAAAAAAAAAAAAAAAAAAAAAAAGGATCTCTTACAAGAGCTTTAGGTCACTGGAAACGTATTGGAGTCATGCTGCTTTGTCAGCTGAACAGGAGCTCCCAATGTGACACACTGCTAAAAGAGACAATGCTGCTCTTGGATACACAAGCATACACCCAAGGGTCTATCCAGGAGGACAGCTATCGTATGTCTGCACGCAGGCCTGAGCAAATTCTGCTAGAATACTGTCCTGGATTAGAGTCTGCAGTTCAGAAGGGATGCTCATAAATTATAGTAAGTTCAGAGAAAAACCACAACAATGTTTAACACAGAGATGACCAATCTTCCTTGTCCTGTAAGCCCTGGGCCAAAATCTTTGTTTGATTAAAAGCCAGGAAATGGGAACTCCAGGAATGATCAGTAGAAGACAAAATTGTTCCCCTGGGACTCCCACACACTGCATGAAAGATGAGACAAGGCCGTTATAGAAGATGGACTGGTGACTCCTCATCTTTCATGGTCCTGGCATGAGATTGCACCTTTAACTGCTTGCATTTCATGTATCTCAAGCACTACTAATTAGCCCACCTGGAAATTAAACATCATACAGGAGAAAGCCCATGAACTCAGACTATTTAGCTCACCAAAAAGAAGGTTAAGGACAGAGTTCAGAGTCTCATACGTGAGTAACAAATCTTTGATAACTGTTTCAATTCAGCAAAGGAGAAGGACTGTGAAGGTTGAATTTCAATGAGGTTTCAGTTTCAATGAGGTTGGATCCCATTTCTTAAGGTGAAGACACTCTTTGAATGCAATCCAGCATTTGAAATTTTAAAAAAGAAATCTCAAGGCAGCCATAAACTCATTTTCCCTCTTAAAGCCATTCTCCTCTGCACAACCGTATGAGAAAGTATTGCTTATTCACATGGTGAATGGCTGTAGTTGTATAACTAACAGAAATCTCATAAAAATGTTTTTTCTCTACATTGAAAAGATCAAATAAAATTCTCATACCCATTTCTAACTTTCTACTTTGGAAATATCTATTTATGACATAAGAATTCATAAACTTGCATAAATGAACCACGCCCTAAGCTCTAAGTAGTCCAGCTACTCTGGTAGCTCACCCTTCTTCTGATGGTAGCACATACCTGCCACCACAGTACACACTTACCAGCAAAATGGGCAGGACCTTCAGATTTGGTAAAGAAAAAAAAAAATTCAGAAGGCCCCCTAGGATGACCTCTGCTAGCAGTTTTAAAACTTCACAGTGAATTAAGGCACAGAGTAATTTTTTTGCAGTCCATGGGTATGCCGAAGAGCCATTAGGAGATGAAGAAAAGCAGGGGATTTGGGGAAACCAACCCTTGCAATTATAAAGACTTAAATAACATTAAATACATTTTTATGAAACAGTACAATCTCTCTCTCTTGGTTTCCTTAAGAATAGGTTAATAGGAATCATGTGACAATGATAAGTGCTTCAGCAGCCATTATTGTGGCTATTGGGGTTTTAAAACAACGAAAGAATTATTGTATGTTACTATTAAATCCTCTTTGTCACCATTGATAGAATTGATCGAGTGCTCTTCAGTGAATAAACACATTGGTGAATTACTCTTTTTCTTGGTCAGCTGTTGTGTTGACAGGACTCTTTTATCCTTTGAGTGGCGGATGGTATGTGTGGCTGCTGGGAGGCAGCAGACAGAAAGTCAAGTCAAGGGCTTAGAGAACAGACTAAGAAATGCCAGTGGAAGTTTGTGCAATGTGTAAGAATCAGCCAGATTCAGGAGGGAAGGAGAAACCCCGCCTAGTGAATGTTAAGACTGATTTGGTCAGCCATTGGGCTTACCTTCCTGATGACATGGCTGAGGGTTGCTTTTAAAGATGCCGTAGTAATTTCAAACATTGTTTGGTTTTCACGGCAGTTTCAGAAATCACCTCAACCTCCAGGAAATCAGGCTCTGCTGAAATAACTTGCCAGAGAGGACAACACCAACACAACCGTAAAAAGTAATGCCAGTTTCTCACATGTAAACATAATAGAGGAAAAGTGATTTAAATATACATGTTGCATAACAATCTTCTGCGTAGGTCCAAAAATGTTTGTTATTTTTAGCGCAATTCTACCAAATTAAAGGGAGCCATAGAAAGCAGTGAATCAACCTATGCCTGCTTTCTGTACCTCAACACACCACATCCAGTATCCCTGTGGTTTTCAGTGATCAGAGTAGCCTGTGACATTAGGCAGGTATTTTTTCTCAGCAGTAGGAGTTTGTTTTCAATTTCTCTCTGATGTTGAGTCCTGTCTCCAGCAGCAGACTCTACCCTGACATCCTGAGCGCCATCCCCACTCCCACGCGCCAGCTCAGCAGGGAGAATCGGTGCAATGAATTTTGCAGCTATTCTCTGTGTCCACCCATCAGTGTCACCAACTACATTCCTGGGACCTGACACACACTGGAACACCTCTCCTATGCATTTTTCTCCTCCAGTTTTGGCTCATTCAAGTGGTTTTCTTAGAAAAATGAACTAACTACGGTCATATTACTTTAAAATGTAAAGCAGACATTTTGGCCCCTCAGCAAAACATCTCTTGAGTCGAGTAGAAGAAATGTACAGAAGATGTTTTGACCACCAGAGGGGGCCTACATTGTCCCAGATTTCAAGTAAAACCAGAATATCATGTTTTAGGAGAGAAAGAAAACAACAAGTATGTATTTGTACTAGAGTAGCACCTAGAGGTATGGAGTGATGATCAGCTGATTGCAACACACAACAAGGTGAAGGGAAAATAAGTTTATGTGGGGTGAGCAGGGAGTGCTGCCTGGTACTCACCCCATCAGCTGTGCCGAGAAGCTGTCTTACAGAGGAAGTTCTTGAGGAATAATATGAGGTTTTCTGTGAATCTGTATGTGAAATACAGTGAGATTATTTTGGGTGTTGTATTAACTGCTGCCTCCCCCATGTTCATTTCAGTGAAAGAAATACTGTCAACTAACACAAGTCAAGTTTTCAAAGCTGTTATCATATGTCACAGTACTAGTGTCCCTGTCCTAATTTTAAATAGGATATTTTTCAATCATCAATATTTTATCAATATGTTGCAGAGATCTAAGACAGGGTTAGGCATCTCAGCTACAGTACAAAGAACGGACCTCAGAAATACTGTTTCCAGTAAATGCTTTCAATTACAGTGAGAAATTCTAGCACAGAATTTAACATGTAAGAATGGAAAAGCCTAAAAAAAAAGGGGTTTTCCCCTAAGAAAATGAACTGATACACAGCTGAGAGATACCACTTTTCTTCAATATCTACTTAGCTATCATACGGTAAATCTCAAAAGCACTTGTTTTCCCTTTGTCTGCCCTTTGCTTTTTTTATCTGTGTAGAATGAATGCAAACCATGTGTAATACCATACCCCATGCTTGCGGTCTAAAGCAACTTTGAAAAGCATCCATATATAATCATATTAATAACAAGGCAGCAGAAATTCTAATCCAGTATTTAATGTAAGAAATCCTGTTTATGTCCTATGACTTTTACAGTAGGCCATCTATACAAAACAATGGCATTAACATTACCACATAGAATTTGAAAAGATGGGAAAGTTACTGCTGCTTGAATAGCAATTTACAATCTTGCATGTTCTTGCTTGGAAACATTGTTCAAAGGAAACAAATCTTCCAGCTGAAAGCCTCATTCCTAGAGTCATCCAATAATACATAAATAGGACCACTTAGCACAGCATTTGTCCCCCACCCTGACTTATTCATCTATTTGTAGCGGATGTGAGAGCTTGTGGGTGGCCTGACATGGTCCTCATTCAGTTTTATTTAATTACTCACTTGATTTCACTTGAAAGAACTATTAAAATGGCATCTTAATTGCTCAGTGTTATCCCGAATCTCTTTCAAAGCCCATAAACTGTCAAGGATTAAAAATGATGTCACTTTTCTGAATTCCCTATTCAGATGGGGAAAGAATAAAAATCTCCATCCAAGCCAAAATAAATACATAAACACAAAAATACACAGCCCTTGAGGAGGGGGCCAGCTTTTCCCCTCCCCTATACTGCACTTCTACTGTGAGCAGGCATTTGAGAAAAGCAGATGAAGCACCACAGCCATAAAGGTTTAAGCAGGAGTAGAAAGTCATGTTTGGGATCCTCAGATCCCAAACACAGGGAAACTGCCATCCCAGGTCAGACGAAAGGTCCAATATCCTGCCTGTCACAGCGGACACAGGCAGATGCTTAGGACAAGGATATAAGAACAGGGTACATGCAGAGTGATTCCCCCTCCACCAACCCGCCCCCCCTTAATATCCTCCCTGCTTCCGACAATCAGCAGTTTAGGGATTTCCTGAGCCAGATGTTGCATCTGCACCACTGTTTTTAATAGCCAAGTAGAAATAGAGACGCTTTTCTACAGGGGCTTGGCTGTAACTGCAGCCAGCCTAACACAGTAGCAGCCACAGAGAGTGGCTGTTTTGCTTCTCTGAATTCACAGAAGGTTTCTTCCTGTTTCTGACCTTCATATATAAAAATTCCATAACCTCAGGATTAGCCCTAAAGAAAATTAATAGTCATTGCACTTTATAAAGCTAGATTATGCCATCAGTAGTCTTATTAAACAATCAGTTAGTTGAGTGTAAAATCCTATTTTTACATGCACAAACGCACAGCCTACATCTGCAAGCGGATGTGAACTGCAAGACATTTGCAATTTACCCCTTAAATATCTTATGTATCAGAAAAGTTTGGTTGGATATTTGTTTCAAATGTACTTCAATCTTTTTTTTAATATAAATGAAACAAAAAATAAAATAGATGAATGTTGGTATAGAAGTAGAGGGCATTAGTGCATCGGGCCGTAACTTCCCTTAAAGTGCCACAGATTACTTCTAACAGCAGACATCCCATAATGACTATAAGGACAAGCTCTCATGGATCTAGAAATTAGATAAATTTTTACATTCAGAGAAGGGAGGAAGAGAGAATACCTTCCTCAGGAAATCAAATTTTTCTGTGCTTGATCTCCATGCATAACTTCGCCTTTTCTTTATTAACTGATTTGAAAGAAAAACCATATTTTATTTCTGCTTTAAATAAAATCATCTCCCCATCTTCTCCTGATCAAATGTCACTCACTTTCTTTTTTTTTTTTAATTTTTATTTTTATAGAGTTAACTCAAAAATAACTGAACTCTGAGACCTGGCATGCAAATAGTTCTAATCTTAGTGTACACACATGTTCAAGCTTGAAAACAAACTAAGATAAAAATAAAGGTGTTGGCAATTCTGAATATGGCTGCTTGGCATCTGCTAAGACTTTTAGAATGTTCTGATTAAACTCTCCCACATTTTGTGACTTGACACAGATATACCTGCTCAAAAGGATCCACAGAGGCAGCAGACAATGAAGGAGAGCAGTGCCTCACAGCTATCAGTTATCTTTTGGATGTTGAGAGAAAAGAAAGAAGACATTGCCTACGCACAGACAATCTGGAGAGTGTTTTCTTCCACTAACTGCAGCTCCCAAATACTTTTTTTTGCATTTTGATACTTTAAGCTCTGCAGTTGACTTTAAGCATTGACTCTAAACAGTTCCAGTCCGTTGGTCCTGGCATATCACAACAATACATTAAACTGGTCATATCACATTCCATTCCAGTGAAGCAAGACCATCACTGGCTAATTTTATGATAATTTAGCTTCTGATTCATCAGTACTTAGGTTCATGTTCACCTACAAGGAAGAAGGATACCATTTACATACCTAAGTGGCTTCCTTATTTGAAGCTGACCTACTCCAAAACCCAAAAACTGTAAACCCTTAAGCCCTTGAACTGGAGTTCCCAGTATTTTTAAGCTGCCCAAGAGAGACTTAAAATTGAGACATTCCCCAAGATCAAGGTCAGACCTTCCATTGGGTAGGGATGTGCAGGTCTTCTCTATTTCTCCCTTTCTTTCTCAGCAGCCTATAAAAAAGTCAAACATCTTCAAGGAGCCTGGATCATCTCAAAACATTTCCTGTCTCACAGAGGATTGCAGGCAGTGGAAGTAATGTTTACTCTCTTTCAATCCTCACTCATTCTTCTTTTGCACTTCTGTCCAAACCTCTCTGCACTCCATCACACAGTCACCTGTTCTACCATTCCTGTGCAGCAAGAAGAAAAGAAGAGAACCTGCCTGCGAAGACAATGCAGATGGAGAACCCAAAGTCTTCCCCTTCCATGGACCCTCTTCAAGGATAGATGTAAGAAATAATTTTGCCCATAGCTTTTAGAAATTATATTACATCTAAAATGGTATTAATTGATCTCCATGGTGTCAGTAAAGTCTTTTAAAACCATGTAGTGAGTTAGGATTGCCAGAAATACCTGCATGTCACAGCCAGTGACTCCTGTTAGAAAGAGCATCACCACTGCAGTGGATTACCTCACACATGGGGGTGTGTGTCACTCAAAACAGTGTCCAGCCTGAGCCCTGCCATACTCATGCTGGGCTAAAGTTAAACATTAATTCACTGAAAAGGGTGGAATGGATAGTTCTGGGTACCAGGGAGGCACACACATGTAAGTAAAATAGGTATTGACAATCTTCAGGCCTCCTAAGATACAACAAATCATCCACCCGAAAAGTCTTTTCTAACATATGAGAAAGCACACTTAAATAATATCTGAATTTTGTGAGCATGAGGCAAGGACATCTTTTCTCAAAATGATACCAATATTGAAAAATGTCAAAGTATGTTTTAACTCTAAGTTGGATTTCTCATAGAGAGATGAAGTACTAAGAGCTGTTGTTAACAGTCCAAAGCAAAATACACATTGTTGCATATGTGTTGATTTTATAAATTAGAATTGGTCTTTTTCTTAGGCATGATTTAAAACCAGAAGAAATGGTGTGCCTCTGTGTCTAGGTATGTGTTTACAAGGACTGACTCACATACAAGAACAGCAGTCATAATGTGTTTTACCATTTAAAAAACATCCTCCTATAAGAAAATAATGCTCGGAGTTACTTTTCTTGTTTCATGAATTAGAACTCAAATGGTTTCCAATTTTAACATAGCTCTCAAGAAATGAGTGTTGTTTCATGCCACCTGAAATTCAAGGGGTCATTCATCTTTAAATCTACTCCTGGCATGTGCTGACTGTAGATGTAGTCACACACAGTCCTGCAAGCTTGCACCACTCCTGTCAGTCTCAAGAACTGTTTTTCAAAACGCAGTAATGACAAATCATTTCAAACAACACAGTGCAGTAGTTGTAGTTACACTGTAACACTGTAACCAGAACTGTCAGTGGAAGCAGCTCATTTTCTGACTAAAAAATTACTGATCACTTCAGGTTTATACAAAATAAGGGGGAAAAACCAACCCCAGCTAATTCAAAACTTGCTTTGCAATACTGCTCCACAGATTTGTTTCCCCCTCTTTGCTGCTTGCCAGATGTTAACAGGATTGCTGCAGTGCATTTGCACAGCTCACAGAGATCTTTGAGCGCAAAGTTTACAAGAGACATATAAAATGTGTCTCGTATTCTCTGGTACAATTTATTATTTTTAACCAGCCCAAGTGAAAGCAATAAAATTCCCTGCTCAGCACTTGAGGAATGAGTATCTGACAAGGAATGCAGAAGAATTGCCCCCAAATAGCTTTGCCCTGACCCACCAAACACAGTGATAAAACAAATGAGATGGTTCTTCACTCCCCTCCTCCTTTTCTGAGAAGTCAGCATTCTCCACTGAAAATAAACCAGTGTCAGTAAGTGACAATTCTGGAATTCTCCCTGGGAGTTAAGTCCCAGCTGAGACACTAAATCACTTCATGAGAATGTATCCTATTGCGAAACATTTGTATTGGGGTCCCATTGCGCTGTCCTTGGGTGCATTCTTTTTTCAATAAAATTGACTTTTTATTCCACTTGGGAACATCATAAAATTGCCACCAAATAATACTTCATGTGGTAGTTCTGTAATAATCAAAGAGACGTGCCGGGTACATTATTCTAAATGTTAGTCCTAATCCTCCAGGCAAATACTAACGGATAGTAGCAATCTGTGTAGTCACTGGAGCATAAAAATGAACTTTTTAAAATATCTAAAGCTTAAAAAGCAAACAAACAAACAAACACAATAGTTTGCTTGTCAGAGCACAAACAGCTTCCCCACAAAACATCTGAGAAAGAATTAAAAGGCAAAAGTTTGGACAAATCCAGTTTAGTCATTGTGTGTGGGTCTCTGCCTGCACTAGGAAATTTTGATTCTTTCCTATTTTATACTGACATGAATGCTGCTGCACTAAAGGATCAACAAATGAAGCAGTAATATGCACAAGAGGAGACAGATTTAGCGAAATGACAAACATTACCTGTTTCCCTGTTCCAGGACAGTGGATATCATAGCTATCCATGGACACGTTAAACCAAAACAAGTGGAAAGCAACTGTAGAGAAAAACACCCGATATGTGAGATAGCAGATATGCACACAAAGCTGAGTTCCCCAAGTGAACAGGACCATTTCCACAAGAGAATTAGTGACACTATGCTATGTGTGCTAACTTACCTTGTAGGAGGCAAAACCCTCTGACATCAGTCCACATGGCTATGATTCAAATTTTACTTGTCACCCGAACTTCTCCAAACTTCCACTGAAAACAGAAGAACACATTGTCTCGGAATCATTAAACAATTTTAATGTGTCCTTTTTTAATTAAGTGGTTGAAAACAAATAAGCAGATTGACCCACACATGCAACAAGACTATAACTTCCCCATTTTTCTTTATGCTCCCCTTCTTCCCCACTTTGAAATGTTGAAACTGCACAATTTGATCTTTTCCTTTTTGGAAGCTAGGAGCTTTCATGTTTGAGAGCAGCAGGAAAAGCTGCTGCCCACCTCCTCACATTTAGGCCCTGGACTGCAAGATACCCCCAGCTAACATGTTTTGGGAGCCTTCCACCAACATGCATGCAGTGATTCAGAGATTCCCTATGGGACCAGCATGCTAGGAGAGCAGAGCAATTGAGCCCACCATGACTTGACCTGGTCTCTTCAGAGCCACATGTCCTATGGCATCCTCCAGCCATCCTGGCTTCCAGAGAGGCTTTTACCATGAACCTGGAGGAACAGGAACAGCAGGACATCAGATGCCCATGCAGTGCTACACTGATATGTCTCTACTGGGAGCATCGGGCCAAGTCAGTCAGACACAAGCTCAGTCTTTTCCTCAGATTGGTGAAAGCCAAGTCACATACAGTATGGACATGACCAGGACAGAGCTTACCTCTGTCTTAGCTGTCAGGGCATCCATCTGGGAGGAAAGAGTTCTGGTCTTGGTATCTGTGCCAGATATAATTTGCAGCTCTTTTTTAATAAACAATGGACATATGCATATATACATATACAGGCAGATAGATGTATTTAACTAATTGAGCTTTTGCTGTGGGTGGGTACCTCCAGCTTATTGTAGGAAGTAGTACAAGGTACTAATGAGCACTATTTAAATTTTGAGGGAGTTGCACCTAGGTTTGTGCAGGCCTGATCCAGCTGGCTTTGTTTTAAACAGGATCTCAGCTTGCTGATTGCACAGGGTCCCTTCTGAGGGCTGCAGGACCATGCCAAGCATAGTCAGTAAAGTAACTGCTCCTGAGGCTCCAAACTCCATGGAGAATAGAAATCCAGACATCTCAAGATGGGGTGGACTTGATGAGTATAGGACTGTGAGGCAGCAAAGTGGGAGCTTTCTGGCTTTTTATTTTGGTATTTCCAGCTTGAGCACCTATACCCTTTGTGAGGTTGAGCTCCAAGTTCACAGCAATATCATGCACCATATAGATGGTTGGCTTTGATGGATGAGAACCTATCTTTATTGTTACAAATACTTGTAACTGAATTATGCTGTAAATATATTTTTCAAATTGTTTTCAAGAAGCAAATACTATAAAGCACTGTATCTATGATAAACTTTCAAACAAACAGCAATTATTTTGTAAAGACCAGCTGCTTTTAGTGAGAATATTTAAAACAAAGGAGAAGGGATACATGCACTTGGAGCTTGATGGAAAGATGAGCAGAGGGTGAAGGATGCATATAATTTGAATATTCTCTCTTTGAAAACTACCACTTCTCCTATTATTTATGATGGGATTCAGTTCATGGAATAAACTAGCCTGAACACACAAAACATTAGTATTCAGAGAACACTGTTTATTAGTAAACATTCACATTCAGAGAAGCTTAGCAACAACTCTGAGTGTTTGGTGGAAATCTGTGAAACTATGCCTTCAGGGTACAGATTCTGCTTTTTGATCTGAAAAGTACCTTACGTTCCTGTTTGTAACACAGATAGTAGAAATTACAAAATCACAGAGCATTCTGAGCTGAAGGGACCCACAGTGATCATTGAGCCCAACCCTTGGCCCTGCACAGGACAGACCCAAGAATCACACCATTTAAATTGCAAAGGTAAAGTACTAGACACTGATGAAATGGAGGCTTCACAAAGAAAATATTAATTAATTCCATGTGCCCAAAACTCTTAATTGTAGTGTTTGAAAGTCATGAACTTGCTCTGATATCCTAAGAGGTAATCAAGTTGTGTCAGGGAGGTTTAGGTTGGGTATTAGAAAAAGGTTCTTCACCCAGCTGGTGTTTGGGCACTGGAACAGTCTCACCAGGGACGTGGTCACAGCACCAAGCATGACAGAGTTCAACAAGCATTTGGACAATGCTCTCAGGCACTTCGTGTGATTCTTGGGAATGGTACTGTGCAGGGTTAGGAGTTGGACTCAATGATCCTTTGGGTCCCTTCCAACTCAGCATATTTTGTGATTCTATGGTTCTGTGAAAATCAGAATCTCACTATAGCAATATTTTTCTGCCTTTTTCTCTCTCTAGATGGAGAATTTTAATCAAAATTTGTTGCTTACCTAATAGTTCGTATTTATGCTAAGTCTGTATTCTAGAAAGGAGACCAGAAATATCAAGCATATTTTTCAAAACATATTTGTCAGACATGGAAGATACAGAATCACATTACTTACCTTGGTGACCCCAGCAAAAATGACAGAGCGTGTTCCTGGTGATAGAAATGACCAGACTGATGCTTGGTTTGTGTCAGGCAACATACTCTCAGCTCTGGAAAGAGGACACAAACAACTGAGCCAGTGTTTTTTCTCTCTTAGACGTAGTAGTTCTTATCTGTCAGTGTGGTGGCTACGTTAAATCACAGTCTCATAGGAGACTATCATTAAGGAGAGGCACATGGGAAACTAGTAATTGGTATTAAAACTGCTTGATCTTTCACCTCTGTTGCTGGTAACTCAACAGATTTCCCATTCTTGTGCTTCATAAGATACTTTAACTTTTGGAAAAATGTTCCTGTACTCAGAGCTTGTGACAAACATTTCAGTGTTAACCTCATTTTGCTGAGCTGATATCCCTACCTCATGCAGGCACTGGTGTTCACATTATAAAAACAGATGCTTAAATGCTGTGCATAATGACAATAACAAGATTCCATGGCTAGAAAATGAATTTACAGAAGTTGAAATGGTAAAGTGCACGGATTTCTACTGTTAGGAAATTAGGCATTTACTTCAAGTTTGTGTCAATACCGAATTTTTTGACAGCTGAAATGTTCTAAGCACAAACCAAGAACCGCAGAGTGAAATTCCATGGTTTGTCCTATAAGAAAAGCTAAAAGAGATGAATATTGATAGCCCCTCATGGCTTTAAAATCTACCAGTTATTTGACCTGTGATCAGAATTCCACCAAGATATTTGGAAGAATTCTCCAAGCTATTGTTTTCAGACTATTAAAATTTTATAACTTTGGAAATATGCTCCTGTTTTTAGTGTTTGCTCCACTTTTTATTTTCCTGGGTTTTTGAGGTTTTTTTGTTTGGTTTTTTTTTGAGGGGGGTGGAAGGGAGGGACATGAAACGAAAAAAAAAAACTTTCCCCAAAAGATCTGTCTAAACTACTAAATAGTTTTGTCTACTTCAGATGCAACCTCGGGTTTATGCATTCATTAGAAGATGGTACAAGGAATTTTTTAATTGCTTAACCTTGCCAATTGCCTAAAATGCCAATTAAACAGTTTTTTCCAAAGATATTCAGGTGCCTTATTTCAGCAATTAACAGACACTTCAAGTGGGGCATATGCTAAACATCTCCGCAGGCATCACTTACTGTGTTAAGTGTTTACTAAATGTTTGAAAAAGTAGAATCCTAAAGTTAATTTTATAAATAGTGGATCATCTCCCTCTGACATGGCTGACCAACTTAGAGTTATTCTGTTATATAATATTCAGAGTAGATAAACCATCTGAACTCATTTCCCCTTTGACTTCCTACAATCTGAATAAGTTAATGCATATCTTTTTTCATCACCTGTCTTTCATATGAGGAAGAGCAGAAGATAGAGATCTATCCTACCAAGGAATCTGCAGACAACTGACTTTCCAGCGAACCCCTATAATGCATAATTCATTTTCCAAATGAGATCCTGCCAAACCTGGAGAGTTCATGTGCAAAAACATCCTGATGCGATTCGGTATTTTATCCAACAAACTCATATCATTATTATTCTTGGCCTCATTTCCTAAGACATTGAAAAAAGTGTAATTGTGATATGTGTCTTCCCCTAATAACTTCTAAGTATAGGGCCAATTTCAATCACCTTTTAAAAGGAATAGGGATGTCAAATATATTCAGTTCTACAAGATTTTTAAACTGAAATGAGAGAAGCCTCTATTACTGCTCCACTGAAAAATGACAGTCATTTCAGAGATTAGTGAATGCAAAATACTGTGGGCATACCAGCTCTGGGACAGGTTTGATTGGCAATTGCATTGTAGATTGGAGAAGACACGCCCATAAGACAGAAAGCTATATACTAGATCTCAGTAGCTTTACTGCCCACAAAACTATTTTCTGTACAGCGATTGATATACCTTTTTTATTTTTAAGACAGAAGTGTTTGTGTAGTCCCAATCTGCTGCACACGAAGTGGCTGCCTGCATGTGCCATTGCCATCCAGGCTCCTGTTAGTTCCACGCAAAAGATTGCCTCTGCCCCCTGAGAACCACTACTGCCATTCTCTGTCACCCACGGATTAAGGAGAAGACCGGGAGTTCTGCTGCTGCCAGGCACTTCAACCTAGGAGACATTATCTCTATGCCATGTCCCACAACTAGTCTCCAGCCCTCCCTCCTAAAAGGGGCTGGACAGCTTATCACACAAGCCATAAATCACAATTATATTTGCATTGTTTCATTATATTGTTATGGCTTTGTTTTGCTGTTGGAATTCTGTGTCTCTGCCTTCTTGTTTGTAAGTGAGGTTCTCATCTGCAAGCTAAACAATATAGAATTATGCTCTATCTGTAAGAAGAAAAAAGCCACTAAAAACACACTGAAATGAAAAGTGACCCAGTCTCTCTGTCAAGATTTTTCCTGGAACTGATAAATACTAGATAGACTGCAAGAAAAATTGAAAATAAACTTTAAAATATGGCTCTAATAGCAAACCAATTTGGACAGTCTTATGGAAATTTAGAAAATCAAGTTCAAGCCACAGAGTTTTAAAATAAAAAGGCAGAAAGAGCAGATCTTTAGATCCTGTAAACACATAGAACAGAATATTTGTTTTGACTGAAAGATTATTCAATATATTTTTTTAAAATATATTTACTTACATAATACAAAAGTGTATGCATAAAGAATAACATACTCTTTATAGCCTGACATCATCCATCCCATCTCTCTGATGAAAAACAATTGCAATATATGCCTTTAATATTTTGTCATTGGAAGTTTAGCTAGAAAAACAAACGCTTAACAATTTTATTGTTCAGTTCCTGAAAGAATTCTGGTTTTCATTACAGCAAAGAATAGTTATAAAAGCTGCTTTTCAAAGACTGGGTATGGTAACCACAGACTGACATTAGGTACCTAAATGAAGCCCACGGTGAGAGGAAATCATGGCATATTTGCATTGTCAGTCACTGGATATTTGCAATCTGTTGCTATGGAATTAAAGTCTCCGATAGCATCTGCAGAGAGGACAGTCAAAACATTAATCCTTCTATCAGTTTCCATATGTTTTTAATTAGTTAAGATGACACAGGAAAGACTATCTCTGGCATTGTGAAGCACCATATATGTAGCCAAGCCACAGCTTTTATGATTCTGAGGAGGACTGAGGCTTATTGCTAAGAAACTCTAAATGTAAATAAAGATGTGATCGTTTGAAGGTAAAGATTTTTTTTTCTTTTTACCTTATAATGAGCCTGATCCTATGACCAACTACTTTGTTACTTCAGGAGATTTGTCGTTGCTTTAATTGGACACAGAGGCGGGATGTGACAAACCACTTGATGTACAATAGCTGAGTGTAGGTCTATGCTGGGTAAAAATGTGATACTACTGTTTCTTTAGCCTTCCCTTTCATATGCTCTAAGCAGTATACCTTCCTTTTACTCTCCCTGGGCAGGGGAACAATTCTGACAAGATAACACTGATCTCCTGCAATGCTGAATATTAATCATATTGAATCATTTCCTTATGTGTCTTTATCTTATTTTTGGAAAGTATCACCTATCAAGAGTAGCACTAGTCAGGGTTGAGAACCTCAACATTTCCTGCCTCTGCTGTCTGAAAATTCTCTTTAAATTTTTCATGCTTACTCTCAGTTGAAAGGTAGATTTTATTGAAAAGTTTGGATGTAAATATATCCAACTGTTTCTTAAGTTATGCAAGGTTAGGAAAAAAGATACACTTTTCCTTCTGTAAGAAGAATGAAAAAAACCCTTGCCTTTCTCTGCATAGCTAGGAGTACCTCCTCCATTAGATTTGGCTTGTATGTTTTTCTTATTCTGCAAGATATACAAGAGTGTTCTCGGTGATAAAAACCCCCACCATCACTTCTGACTGTATTCACTCTCACCAAACCCACATCCAAGTGTAATTAAACTCTCCCCCTGTTCAGATTAAGCTCATAGTTTCTTCTGCTCGCTGGATCAGTTTCATACAAGTGGTTTTAATACAAACGGGCAACCAGGCCAACCATTTACTGATTTCAGTTGGTTCCTGTCCTACTGGGTGGTAAGAGCCTCCTAGGGAATGCTTAGAGACTAACTTCTTTTGACCTCTGGGCAGTAGAGTGCTCTCAGCATCTTGAAAAGACTGAGCCCCTGCATTCACAGCTTCAGATGTGGTCACAACATAACTAAGAGGTGCTTTGAAAGTAGTTTTCAAGGCTGCCTGTTCCCTTCTTCTCCCAGGGATATCAGTGAAGTAAAGCATTGACTTTTCATTAAATATTACAGAATCAATTTCGCTGGAAAAGACCTCTGAGATCATCAGGTCTACCCTATGACTGAACACCACCATGTCAAATAGACCATGGCACTAAGTGCCACATTCAGGCCTTCCTTAAACACCTCCAGTGACAGCGACTGCACCACTTCCCTGGGCAGCCCATTCCAATATGTAATCACCTTTTCTCTGGAGAAATTCCTCCTAATGTTCAACCTGAATCTCCCCTGGAGGACATTAAGAGTATGTCCTCTTGTCCTGTCCCTAGTTGCCTGGAAGAAGATGCTGACTCCCACCTTCTACAAGGTCTCCCCTAAGCCTCCTCTTCTCCAGACTAAACAACCCCAGCCCCCTCAGCCTCTCCTCACAGGACTTGTGCTCCAGACCCTTCACCAGCTTCGTTGCCTTTCTCTGGACCTGCTCCAGCACCACAATATCCTTCCTGAATTGAGGGGTCCAGGACTGGACACAGTACTTGAGGTGTGGCCTCTCCAGTGCCTAGTACAGGGAAAGAATCACTTCCCTAGTCCTGCTGGCCACACTCTTCCTGATACAGGTCAGGATGCCATTGGCTTTCTTGGCCACCTGGACACACTGCTGGCTTCTATCAAGCCAGTTGTCAAACAGAACCACCAGGTCCTTTTCCTTTGGGCTGCTTTCCAGCCACTCTGCCCCCAGCCTGTAGCACTGCATGGAGTTACTGCGGCCAAAGTGTAGGACCTGGCATTTAGTCGTGTTGAACCCCATGCCATTGGTCTTGGCTCATCTCTCCAGCTTGTCCAGGTCCCTCTACAGAGCCCTCCTGCTTTCCAGCAGAT